GGAAGAAATTATGTATAAAGATTTACTCAAATATAAATTTTTTTATTTTTAATTATTAAAATTTATTTATATTTATTAAAAATAATTATTTTTTATCTAAAAATTTATGATAAATCTTAATTATTAAAAATGTAAAAATAAAATTTTAAAATTATATATAAAATATAAAATATATAAAATTTACATGTAAATAGATTAATAGTTTACCATCACTAATTAAATTTTATTCAATTTAATAATCTACCAAAAATAGATTACCTGGACCAGGTTCATCTGAGATCCAATCGTTCTAGGCCCAGTCCAACAACCCACGCAGGAAATCGGCTCAAATCACCGATGGACCGCCAAGTGTCTCAAAAATGAAAAACCGAAAAAATTATGAGAGAGCAGCGGACTGCACATCACTTGTAAATAATTATATTTATTTGTTAAGTTTTTTATCCTTTTCGGATATTAAGAATTTATAATTAATTTATATTTTTATTTACATTACTAGTAATGAAAAAAATGGAGAAAAGAGAAAATTTTGATGATAAGACGAGCAATTAAAGTAAAGCAACAATTTTTTTATTTTGCAACAAAGTTAAACATCAGTGATTCAGTAATAATAAGAGAAAAGTAAAAGGAATTTATTCAATTTAAAAATTAATTTAAAATAAATTTCAAATAAAAATAATAATTATTTTACTTATTATGAAATGGAGGACATAATATTTATATTATGCAATCTAATCTAATAAGTATGATTGTATAATACTCTTACTATTAATCTAAAAATATAATTATGTGTTTTTAATTGTAAAATATAAATGATTAACTCATCAGAATTTGCATGTACATTCAAAAGGCCAATATCACACAATTTTTTTTAACAAAAAGAAATTAATACATGTTAAGTAAATAAAAATTAAAATAAAAAATTCATGAAACTCAATTATATAATTCATAAGAGGTGATTCACACTAATTTAAATTCAAAATCATTAGACTAGAGCATAAAGATCAAGGCCAATACCACACAATAATTATTTATATATTATATAACTTAATGCCGTCTAAATTACACAATATTTTTTTTATACCATTCGCAACAATTATTTTTGTTATCAATAATTGAGAAAAAATTATTGAAAAATACAAAAATTTACAGAGGAGACCACATTAAGAAAATAGATATTTCTTGAGCCAGTCAATAGCTGTGTGGGGAGTCAGAGTTTCTTTCTCCAAAATGCCCTGGTCGACGTAGTCGTATTCCCGACGCTCCAAATTCTCCGGGGCTAAAATGGTAAAAGGGTATAAAATAAATGATATTTATTTGCGATGGAGAGGCAGGGTAGGGTAGAACCGAAGTAGGAAAGAGAAACGGCTCCTACCCTTCCCTATATAATGCCTTCACAACCACTAGCAAGAACACAACACTCCTTAAATTACTTTAATAAGTATTAAGGTTGAGTTTTTCGTCGTCTTTGTGGGAAAATTGAGGGCTTTTTTTCCTTTTTTCATATTGAAAAAGGTGAGTGATTAGGAGAGAGATTGTGGGTGTAACGGTTTAAGGATAGTGCGAGAGATTGAGAGGGGAAGTTTGCTGCTTTTTCCTGGGTTTGGCACGGATTCAGGTGGGGTGGTGGAAAGTTTAGTCCTTTGGGGAGTTGATCTGGTTTTGAGTAGGGGAATCTGCAAAAGGGAAGCTGAAGCTATTGTGGGTTGTGTTGATATTGCAGAAAGATGTGGTGGATGATGAATGAAGGAGGAGGGCATTACTGTTCTAAGAAGACTGATGATATCTGTGGTGATGTTTGTGGGCAGGTATTTTCTTTCCCTTTTCCCTCTTTTGTAATTTTTTGGAGAAAAATGAGGTTTTTGGATCTGCTTGTTGAGCAGTCATATGATTATTTAATTCTAGTTTCCTTTGGATTGGGGATCATGATTTTTTTTTGGGAATGTGGAGAAGGAAATCAAGTTCGAAATTTGGGATCTTGATTTTGTATTAAAACATGGATATATGTTGGCCTGGTGCAATTCTCTTCTACTCTGGCTTTGACATTCCTTGTTATTGTAAGTTTGGCCCCAATTGAATTTGTTGAGGATCTTTATCGGAATGTTTGATTGTAGATACGGTGTTACATTAGGTATCAATCGATCTGGGAATTTTATAGGCATCAATTTTTCAATATGCAGAGGATGTAGCAGAGGCTTTTTAGTTTCTTAAAATAAGATTTGCCAGTTGCTAAATTAACCTTAGAATTAGATAAGGA